GTAATTTTGCGTGGCATATACACTAAACAGACGTAAAAACCTTTTCAATTTTAAAAAAAAAACAGAAAATTTACGTCGCATATGGTATACGCGACGTAAATTTACGTCGCATATACCAATATGCGACGTAAATTTACTGCTTTTTTTTTTAAATTGGGTTTATTTATTCTGTTTTCAACTAAAACCCGCAAATATTACAACCAGGACAGTCCGGAGGTTCAGTTTTCTTTAGCTAGTAAATTAAAAATATAATATTATATAATTCAAACTACATAATAAAACAATATAATACAAACATACAAACTAAAAAATCTATTACAAACTAAGCTACCTATACAAACTAAGCTACCTATACAAACTTTATCACCACTTCCGCTCCCGCACTCGCCACTACCACTACCAAGTACCAGCTGTGGAATCCGACATATCCTAAAAAACAAAACAATATGAAGTCAACATACTTTATAAGTTTGAATAAAAAGAACTAGAAAATGTGAAGATAAACACCTATTATGTTGGTATGTTTTCCCATATCCCTTCATCATGATCACTTCGAATTGCATGTATGTCATCAACTTCATTGTCAACTATGTCATCAAATGGTCTACTTGAAAATGAAGGTGTTTCATGTATATCTAGAGACTCATCTTCATGAATTCCGTGCATGCTTCTTCCTTCTAGGACAATTGACCATCTCTCATTACATGGATCCTTGACATAAAATATTTGTCTCGCTTGATATGCCAAAATAAAAGGTTCATCCTTATACCCAACTTTACTCAAATCAACCAAAGTAAATCCTAGGTCATCTGTTCGCACACCCATATTCCCTTCAACCCATTTACACTTGAAGACAGGCACCCTAAAAGTAACATAATCAATTTCCCATATCTCTTGTATGACCCCAAAATAACTCATAGAAGATGTGATAGGATTTTTGTCTTTAGAACTAGAAAAATGCATAGATTCAGCTTGAATTGTGACCCCACTATTTTGTACTCTACCTTTATCATCTTCTATTTTTTAGTAGAAACAATAGTTATTAATGTCATACCCACCAAATGTAATGACATCACTATTAGGCCCACGAGCAAGTCTCAAAAGTGTTTCTGAAGCATTAATCTCAACATATACCCTTTTTTTAAACCAAGAAAGGAAACTTTTGTTATGTTCATTCAATACCCATTTTTCATTCATTCGTGGATGTGTTGCCTTTATTTCAGTTATGTGTTGTGATATGTAAGGGATTACTTCATCAGTGTTGTTCAATATGTATAAATGTTCTTGGTCAACTTCTTTCCGACTAACATTTTTAATCTTCAAATTTCGAGTACCCTTACCTTCACATCTTCCATCATGTCTCATCTTAGGAATACCTATTGGTTCTGATTTTGACATGTATCCTTGACAAAACTCAATGGCTTCTTCTGCAATGTACCTTTCCACAATAGATGCTTCTGGCCTGTACTGATTCTTCACATATCCTTTTAAGATCTTCATGTATCTCTCAACAGGATACATCCATCTAAGAAAAATTGGACCACATAATCGAATTTCCCTTACCAAATGAACTATCAAATGCACCATGATATCAAAAAATGAAGGGGGAAAATACATTTCTAACCGGCACACTATTACAATTGCTTCATTTTCTAATTCATCTAACTTTTTTGGATCAATTACCTTTTTACAAATGGCGTTGAAAAACAAACATAACCGAGTAATAGCAATTCTAACGAAGTTGGTAAGATGTTTCGAATCGCCACTGGTAAAAGTTGTTGCATCAACACATGACAATCATGAGACTTTAAACCAACTAATTTCAACTCTTGCATAGACACAAGACTCTTAACATTTGAGGAGTATCCTTGTGGCACTTTGACCTCATGTAAACACTCACAAAAGCTTCTCTTTTCTTTCTTTGATAGAGTATGACAAGTCTGGAGGTAAGTAAGTGCGTTTTCCAACCGATTGTGGATGTAATTCGAACGTATACCCATGTCTGCCAAATCTTGTCTTGCTTTTATTCCATCTTTTGTCTTTCCTTTTATGTTAAGCAATGTCCCAATTATACTATCACAAACATTTTTTTCAACATGCATCACATCTATACGAGTGTCTAACTTCCAACTTACACCAATAAGGAAGATTGAAGAATATAGATTGTTTCTTCCAAATGTTTTTCTCATTGGATTTCTTTTGGGTCTTTCCAAACACAATATTAATATTTTTCACTTGCTCATATACTTGTTCACCATTGCGTGGTACTCGATGCAACCGCATTCTCCCGACATCCATTAAATGTTTTTTTCATTTTATGATATGGATGATTAGCAACTAGAAACTTTCTATGCCTATTGTACGCAGTTTTTTGTCCATGTTTCAATTGGATATAACTTGTGTCTTCTTGACATATAGGACACGTTAAATGACCTTTCACACTATAACCGCTCAAATTACCATATGCTTGGAAAATCATTTATAGTACAAAATAACATTGCACGCAACCTGAAATTCACTTCGTGATATGAATCAAATACATCCACTCCTGTTTCCCACAACATTTTCAAATCATCAATTAAAGGACTAAGATATACATCTATGTCATTTCCTGGTTGTCGAGGTCCTGAAATCATCATAGATAACATCATATATTTTCTCTTCATGCATAACCAAGGAGGCAAATTGTAAATGATCAACATAACTGGACATGAACTATGTTTACTACTTAAATTTCCATAAGGATTCATCCCATCTGTAGCTAATCCAATTCTCAAGTTTCTTGGCTCTGCACCAAATTCTAGAAAGGTTTCATCAATCCTTTTCCATTGTGGAGAATCAGCTGGATGTCGAAGAAGATTGTCACATTTTCTACCATTTGCATGCCATGTCAAGTTTCTTGCATCTTCTTTTATGGCAAATAATCTTTTAAACCTAGGTATAATTGGCAAATACCATAACACCTTAGCAGGGGGACCATCTAGTTCTTTCTCACCACTACTTTTCTCAACTTTGTTTTTGAACCTCGACAAACCACATGTCGGACACATCTTTAATTTAGCAAAATCATTTTTGTACAATATACAATCATTAGGACATGCATGTATTTTCTTGTACTCTAAACCCATTGGACATAATATCTTCTTTGCCTCATAGTTACGAATAGGTAATGTATTATCTTCAGGAAGCATCTCCTTCAACAACTCCAATAATTCGGTGAAACTTTTATCAGTCCATCCATTTCTTGCTTTTAAAGTAAACAATTTTAAAGTTGCTGATAATCTTGTAAAACTACATCCTATGTACAATTGTTGTGCAAAATCAGATTTCAAAGAATCATATAGATGTGCTTTCATAAAATTTTCTTCACCAATATCACGTATCATATCCTCTAGATTATCATTCATCCCTTCATCAAAATTGTCTGTAGTTGACACAGTTGGGATGTCTAATATTTCTCCATGCCATGTCCATATTGTATAACTCTTAATAATACCATAAACAAACAAGTGATCACGTATATCCTCAAGTTTATGACGAATTTGATTCAAACAACGAACACATGGACAATAATATGTCCCTTTCATAGTTTTTCCATTTTCACTAGCAAATTTCAAAAATTCCTCAACTCCCTTTTCGTACTCTTCACTAATACGACGTGCATTCATCCAACTTCGATTCATATTATGTTATAAAGTTTCGTCACTCCTAGAGATTTAAAAAGTATATGTAAAAAAAATTAATATACAAACAACAAAGCACGTTCCAACAACAATGGAGTGTGTAAACCGAATGCACTCAAACAAATAAACAAATAATTACATTTCAATAATAATCCAGTGGAGACATTCATACTATAACGTGATTGAGATCCCCAAAAGCAATCACGGATTCAATGTAAACATATAGCAATGACATAGAACACTAACCTCGAGTGTAGACGAAAACTGATTTCAAACTCGAATCCAATCGGGGAGAAAGATCAAGTTCGTCAAATGACACGATAATGTAGATGCTTTTCACTGTAAAACTGCTCGAAAATGGTGTGCAGAGGTAGCTGTTGTCGTCGTTCTCGTCGTCGTTCTCAAAAACCCTGGTTGCGCGAGACGAGGAAGTGGGTCTGGAGGGAAATAAAATAGACTTTTTACGTCGCGCATCCCAGCACGCAACGTAAAAAGCCATCTTTTACGTCGCACCTGGAGTGTGTGACGTAAAAGATGGCCTTTTACGTCGCGTGCTAGGGGGCGCGATGTAAAAAGCTAAGGCTTTTTACGTCGCGCCCCCCAGTACGCGACGTAAAAGTCCATCTTTTACGTCGCGCCTCCCAGGTGCGACGTAAAAGAGGCTTTTTACGTCGCATACTGGGATGTGTGACGTAAAATTTTTGTCCCATATTTACAAAATTGCCACCGCGTTTTATTTACGTCGAATATACATGCATGCGACGACAATTGGGTGACGTAAAAGCCCTATTCTGCACTAGTGAATCTTTGAATCTCATACTACTCTATGCTTCCTTGTCAATATTTTGCTCATCTCCCTTTACAGTGTTTCTTTGGTGTGTTAATCTGTTAAACTTCCGAGTCCAAGAAAGGATACTACACAAGTAAAGTACTTTTATTATGTTGTGAACATTTTGGTTCCTTACATGATGTTTTGTTTGTGGTGTCATTGCAGATGTGTTGTCACAGGTAATGGGGGAACTTCATATGCATATCTGGGAAGACCATGGAGACCTTTTGCAAGAGTGGTTTTTGCATTCACTTTCATGGATCAATGTATAAAGCCTGCAGGGTGGAATAATTGGGGCAAAGTTGAGAATGAAAGAACTTCTTGCTTCTATGAATACAGGCAATCATTTCTAACTCCATTCTGTAGTATTGTTATCATCACCAAGGCCTTCTTATACTCATTAAATCAATGGATCTGACAGCAAAATTGTTGATAATTTCATAAAAACATAAAAGTGAAAGAGGGTCTAAAGTGTATAAAATTGTTGTTTATTGAGTTGAACAAGTTTGGAGTAATTTGATAAGAGTGCAGGTGTTCTGGACCGGGTTTCTATCCATCCCAAAGAGTGAAATGGGCCGAGAATTGAAGAATGAAGGAACTGAGCGGTTTCGAGTCTCACCTTCATTGATCCGGAATCGGACAGATCTTGGCTTCCTCAAAGAATGACCTTCAATTATTAATTAGGATTATTATTATAATAGAATAATTAATAGATCTTGGCTTCCTTCATAAAATTCCTACTACAAGTCAACATGACACTGACAATATACCAGAGGACTAATTTTCAATTTTATGATATTAAGACTTTGAATCTTGAGTAGTTGTTAAGTTCTTAAGTTTCATTTGTGTTATGTTTGGATGAATTAAGCAGGTACAAATTTTATGATTTGAATAATTTGACTTTAGTTCTTAAGTTTTCATTTGTGTTATGTTTGGATGAATTAAGCAGGTACAAATTTTATGATTTGAATAATTTGACTTTAGTTCTTAAGTTTTCATTTGTGTTATGTTTGGATGAATTAAGCAGGTACAAATTTTGTCAAATTGGATATACAAAATTTTAAATGAAAATTTTCAGATTTGGTTAGATTAGCGACCAAATTTTTGGTCGCTACAAATTTATTATAATATACAATTCAAATTTAGCGATCGATTTAAATTATTATTTAAATAATTCAATTAATATATTAGCGATCGATTATACCCAGTCGCTATTATTTGTAACTTTGTCTCCAATTTAGCTGACCGATTTAGCGATCGATTTTAATTATTATTTAAATAATTATATTAATATATTAATGACCGAATATATCGGTCGCTATTTTTTAAAACTTTACCACGACTTAGCACGATTTAGCGACCGATTTATTATATTACTTTCGATCGCTATTTTGGTCTTCAATGAATAAGTGACCAAATTATTTAACGATCACTTTAGCGACCACCTCATCGGTCGCTATTTAGCAACCGAAATGTAAATCGGTCGCTAACAAATTAGCGACTTGCCCTTTTGTGACCAACCATTTCGGTCACTAACAGAATAGCGATCGATTTTTTGCCATTAGCGACCAATTTTTTCGATCGCTAATAGCGTTTTTCTTGTAGTGAGAAAGTAACATAAAATAAAATTTATTTTTGTGACATCTGATTTTGAAAGACTTTTCTTTTTTATAAAAATATATTAGATTCATAGAGTAGAATCTAATATAAAATAGTTTTTATTAACTAGTTCGATTTATAAATTATAATTTTAGTTAATAGATAATTTAGAAAGACTTTTCTTTTTTATTTTTCTTTTGTAAATAATTTTGTCAAATCGACTCAAATATATCTAATAATAGTTTATGATGCATGTTCCAATATAAGTTTCTTCTATACGTTGATGTTTCATCAAATCGGGGTATAATTTTGTCAAAACATTAGACATTATTAATTAACTTTCCCTAACATTCTAGGAATTTATGTTTTGGATACATAACCTTCTAACCTCAAATTTTATGATGAAAAAGTTAAAATGGATGTATGAGTTCAAGGACATTATGGCGACAATCCTTTAACATTGATGATCAAATGGGGGAAAGAAATGAGTAGGATACATGGATTGCAAAAGTATTTTGAGAATAAATTCGTAGCATTGAAACAGAGCATACGTTTGATTAATTAAGACCTAAGAATCATGGTAGTTTCAACTTAACGCAAGAATGAAAACTTACTCCTATAGCTTGGCATCTTCGTGAAACGTAGGGGTATTATAATCCATGATGATGATGAGAATATATAAGAGAACAAAAACAATATAGAGATAGATGTTTTTATTATGATAATTAATTGTTAATTAAATATATAGTCGGCTTAGGCATCAAGAACGTACTCTTTGATTCCACGATTCTGAACTTGGTTGATAAAAAATGTGGCCAAGATATGATGTGTATGAATACATAGGAGTGCATGTGAAGTCTCCATTTTGCATTCAACTTCATTTTCCCCTTATTCTCTCCCCTTCCTTTATCTTGCCTTTCCTTTTTAAATATGTGACCATTGAACTTTTACATCTTATTTTCTTTTTCACCCTTTTTTATTTAGTTAATTCTATTCAAACAAATCTATTTTGCTTAACGAAATCAATGATAATACAATAGAATTATCACTTTCAACTTTACATCCAGAGAGATGCAAATGTCATTCAGAATTTATGACATTTGTGAACTGATGAAATTTTACTATGAGATGACACAATAATGCAACTTTAGTACTTTAATTATGTGACAAAAAAAAGGGAAGGATGAGAGAGTACACACTTTATAAACAAATACAAACCATGGACAAACAATATGTTTATAGAGTAAATATAAGACGACTAAAATTCAAACACTTTTTTAACCATGTTTTTAAAATTCAAACTTTAAGCTCACTAACAATAAATTATTTGCTGTAAGTTTTTTAAAACCAAATGGGACCACATATTTTGATATAAAGACTCAATAAATAGCTCTCTCATTTAAAGTTAAAAGGTCTCTCAAAATTTGCTTTAGGTTTTCCTCAAAGTTAATTTAATCAGTATATATATATATGACAAAAAAATAATGTTTTCACTTAGTCAAATTTTTGCAATATATGACAAAAAAACTTGAATTGGGATTTATACCTCATGCATGCATGATATACCTAGCTATAGAATAACTTGTACTTTAAATGCATGTTAATTGTGAATATGAACTTGCACATATGCTCCAAGGTAGTACAATTTGTTCTATACAAACTACAAAGTAAAGAATTGCATGGCGTGGAACCTCACTGATGGCGATATTATATAAATTATTGGAAGCAGTTGGGAAAGAAAGGTTGGCATTAGAGAGGAAAGAAAGAATAGAGAAAGTGAGGGATAGAATTAGATGAGGGAAATTAAGAAAAAGAAAGTGTAAAGCAATGTAGCTGAAAACGAGGGAAATGCTGCTAAAGTGAGGGACAAGAAGACAAGGCCTGGGCTTGAAATGCACGCATGCTTTCCCTACAAACAGCAACTTCCCTACTCACCACACCCTAAACCCTCTCTATCTCAGACACGCCAACCTGGTTTTCCAGCCCTTTGCTTTCTTTCGACTCACCACCTCTTTTCACCCCCTAACAAAACACAAAAACAAAGTTTCCTTCCCTTTTACTTTATTGCATTCCTTTGTTGCCATTGTTTTCTGTGACCTTTATCAATCTTTGTGTACAGATTATACAACCTCTGTCATCTTCCAACGAACCAACTAAAGGATGTTTAATTGTGGCCCTCGTAGTTTTTAATTGTGCTTCTCAACCGCAACGTGAAGTTTTTCAACTCTTTACTTTTAAAACGCGATCACATTTACGCTTGCATCACTCATTTATCTGTGTAACTTCTTTCAATATCAACATTCACCAACAAAATATAATTGCAGCTGCAACTACAATTATGAACCATCGTGGACCTTAAACAGAATTACTACTAGTTCATCCACATCATAATATTCTTCAACTTTTGCTGTTATTATGTGAAAGTATATATATATATATATATATATATATATATATATATATATATATATATATATATATATATATATATATATATATATATATATATATATATATATATATATATATATATATATATATATAATGGATGCATTGTGTTAGGATTTTTTTTTTAATGATGACTAAACCGAAATAGGTTTTACTGCAACATTATGTTACAAAGACATGATATAGTTTTGATTAAGTTAGTCAGGTGGTATCTAATTATTTTTCCTAATTGGTCCTCTAATATTAAAAAAAAAAGTAGGTTTCTGGGAGTCTGAAACAAATTACAATTTATAATGGTTTTAAATTTTTAGAAACTCGATTTAAAAAGTTTGCATAATTAAGGACACCGTTCAAAAAGTGTTTAGAACCTTAATAAAAAAGTTTAAAATGTTTTAGGAACTAAGTTAACCTAATATTCATGAAGAATTGACATTTTTATGTAGTTTACGAGGGTTTGGTTGAATAATTTAGACCTAGCTTTGATTAAATTATTTGGGCCTATAGTTTGCAATAACTTTTAGCATTTGAAAATTTTATTAGTTGACAAGTATTTTTGTTACATACTAAAAAGACAAGATTATACGTCTATACATTGGATCATAGTATGGGACTTCCTGAAATAATTGAAGTACATAGTTATTTGAATTTATATGGTAAACTTAATTCATTTACCCTTATTTTTTATATAACTACTTGCTGAAATGTTGAATATTATGATCTAATCACATGAGAGCTTACACCAGAAGCATTTAAGAGAATCAATGCAATTAATAAGAGATGTTGATTAAATAATTTTTATTTTATTATCATAGAAGTAACAGAAACAAGTAAAAAAAGGATATAGGAAGATCATATACTGTTATCACTAGGTTAATTATAAACACCTGACATTTTCAATCAAATAAGATTGGTTAAGCTATTCCACATGTGAGATGCCTAGTACATATGATCATTCTAAAAACTCATCACAACAACAAATTAACAAGAGGGACAGGATATGAGACATCTTGAAGTACATTCTTGATTTCATCTAATCAAATTTTTTGAAACCTGGTCTTTATTTTTCTTTTCAGGTAGCCATTTTATTAGTAAGATTTTAATATACACTCCACTTTATGACCACAGAAAAGCAAAAATGGAACCAAAAAACCAGGGCTGATTATGTTAGAGAGCGTCCATTAAGGTCCCACACAAAAGATAATCAAGTTGATGTTATAGCATCATAGAGGGGACAGGTAGTAGGTCACTTTCGATCTACAGTGGGAGCCAGATCATACAGTCGGCTACACACCAGAATTCCTCCTTTTGTACACAACACTACAGTAGCATGCAAAATATTAAGTAGTGAGAAAGAAGATATGCCTCTATAACACTAAATTAGCATTAACATTATTCTCATTAGTCAGTTCACAATGTTTAAAATATAACCACCGTCAACATGCTTACCAAGAACCTATGTTAATAATTTGTTCTCTCCTACGAGAATCTAGCTTGCAAATTATCTCCCTCTATAAATGTAACCCTTCGGTTTGTATGCATCTCACCACTTATCACAAAATCAACCAAGTAGTTGCACATAAATTTAGAGCAATAATATCCCATATATTTCATCTAATCATGGCTGCATCTCAAGCTAATGATCCTAGAAGCACAGTTTCTATTTCAAGGATTGTGTCTGTGAATCCCAAACTTGTGCAACCTCAGGGGGTTTTGACCCTTTCAAATTTGGACAGGCAGTGTCCACACCTCATGCACTTGGTGTTCTTCTACAACAACCTGCCTCACCAAAGGTTGAAGGAATTGTCCCTCAATTCAGTGTTCTCCAACTTGAAATCTGGCTTGGAAGATACCTTGGCTCTATGGTATCCTGGTGCAGGTAGGCTTTGGCCGAATCAAAGTGATGGCAAACTCAATCTCTGGTGCAACAACCATGGTGCAGTTCTGGCAGAGGCCGAAACCTCTGTCAAAATCTCACAACTTGGAAACCTCTCTGAGTACAATGAATTCTTTGAGAAGCTGGTTTATAAGCCAGCTTTTGATGGGAACCTCTCAAACATGCCTCTGATTGTTGCTCAGGTAAGAAACATATTTACAATCTATGTCCAATATATATATAATATCTAATTGCTATCGAGTCAAGGTTATAATATAGAATAGCAGTTACATAAGGAAATGTAAAATTGATATAAGACACACAAAAGAAAATTTACCTGTTTAGGGTTTTGTGTATTTTGTTTCGTCCATGTTAATTACCTAATTTATTTCTGGAATTTCTAATTATATACCACTCAATTAGGTCCCTCGAAATTTCTCTCCTCCCCAAGAAATAGTTATAAAGAAATATTTGGGATTATTTTCCCATTATATTAAGTATGGCAGAAGCTAGGGTTTGTCCTTGTGGTTATATGAAACATGGGACATGTTCCCTTCACACTGGACAATAAGCGGGGTCGTAAGATCTTCTTGTTCCTATAATTTATTTGCTCATAATAACTTTCTTAATTCTTACCTTTCTTACCATTTTCCAAACAACCCAGCTTCTGCAAAATTGAGAAACTAGAAAGAAGTAAAAGAGACCATCTTTCTTCTGTGCCCTAAGCATCTAAATTATGCAGCAAAATCTCACCAACTTAAGAAGTATATTTATCACATGATCTGATATTTATTAGATGTGCTTAGGGTTCAATAGTCATGCATGTGTGTATATTTATCAGATGTTGTCATGATTCCAATATTGACTGATATGTGTATGAAAAAATACCTCTGACAAAACTTCAACTTCTAAATAGATTTTAAGTCTTTCAAGAAATTAATATGTAACCTCATAAAAAAATATCTTGAGAAGAAATAACAATATAAATTGATAGACTTTCATATTTTTATCTATCTCTTCTGCTTACATCCTATATCATCTCACTTGATACATCTTTCATTTTCTCCTCCTTTTTCTACAGTAATGATTATTCCACTTATAGCAAGAAAGTTCTGAGAAAAAAAATATGAAATTGATTAATTAGAAACTTCCATAACACCAGTTCGATAAATATACAGGTTACTAAATTTGGTTGTGGAGGGTATTCAATTGGTATTGGAACAAGCCACTCATTATTTGACGGGCCAGCAACCTATGACTTCTTGTATGCATGGGCTTCAAATTCTGAAATTGTGAAAGGAAGAAGCAAATCTGATGAACTTCCAAAGCCAGTGCATGAGAGAGGGATACTTCTGAGTGGTACTCTTCGAGGCCCAAGAGGGACAACAAATTTTCCTTCAGACTCAAGTTCAAATGCTAAGAAAGCAAGGGCCATGGCAATAGATCACTTATATCAACTAATAATGCAAACAGCTTGTGCACAAAAGGGTTCTCTGCAAATCGGAGCACCTTCGAATCCAAATAAGTGTGTTCTGAAAACCTATCATCTTTCAGGTGCAATGATAGAAACCTTGAAAAGGAAACACTTCCCCATGCAGAGAGGTTCACTTCCTTTCTCAACCTTTGAAGTTCTTGCTGCTCATCTTTGGAAGGTAAGTTGATATGCCTCAATTTCCCTTCTTTTTGTTGAGTCCTGTGTGTTCTTTGAGTTCATTATATGACAAAGATATGACAGCCTGACACCTATCTTTTTGTATGGCCCCTAACTTATGCCACCAAATAGGAGAACAAGTACACTAAACAAGCACTAATATTACTTGAGCCTAACAAAACAACATAGTGGACTTGATTTTGTAAAGATTTAAAACCAAAGACTCTTTATTGAGTCTTGTAATATATTTAGGATTTAGTTACACAAGTTTTTCATAAATATTTTTAAACTAGAATGAATTTTCCATATAAAATAAAATTGGCTTACACATAAATTAAAAATAAAAATTTAGAAAAGTTATCTATATCAATCAATTCCAACAAATTAACTTATAAATAAGTTTAGCTTGTTAAGAAGTTAGTTTTTCATTTTTACTTCTTTTTTTAAGAATATGTTTGTGAAAAGATTTGTGCAATCATATCTTAATAAATTTTATTTAAATTAGTCAAAGTTAACGAAAATATGTTTTCATATGAGCAATAATTGAGATCTAAAGTCATGTCATCACTCAAAAAGATCCTATAACATTTTAAAAAAATATATGAATATGTTGCAAATATTTTGAAATCTCTTATGATACCGAAAGAAAGCTACAAGAATTAGTGCAAATATTTTTGAACCAATATTATAAGTGAGTTTAGTATACATTAGAAAGAAATAAAAGAGATCGACCTTATATTAAATAGAAGCTCATTCAATTATTCATTTTAAATATCAAAACCTTTAAATTTTTCTATAGCTATCATAGAATGTCTCTGATGATTATTCTTCTCATTATCACATAACTACGCATATAATATATAAATATAGATATAGGCATAAGACATAATCAATCACCAAGTATCACTCAAATTAAAATGAAATATAATTATAGAAATTCAACTTAAAAATTGATTAAAACGATGCGTAATTACCCAAAAAATATTAAAAAAACTATTTCAAATAAAAATTAAAATAAGTAAAATAAAAAAGTAGCTATATCACATGAACCAAAAATATTACAAGCCTATATTATTCAATGATCATGTATATATTATAATACTAATTTCAAATTATTAATTAAGACATTTCTGGACATATATAATCCAAATATAAAAACCTACTTGTACTTTAAATATCTTATTACATGATAAAATAAAAATATAATGAAATTTTAATTAATTTTAAATTTCTATGAAATTTTTAGACTTCCTTATAACAACTGAACTGGTGAATTTAATATGTATAAAAATTATTTCTTTATTGGATGTATTCTTTTAAATTATAAAAATATATGGACTCGTTTTTTATAAGTGTTAACTTAGAATTTTATTTTAAGTCATTAATTTATTTTGAAATATAGTAACAATTACTCATTTACTACGCACATATTTATTAAAATTACAAGTAAAACTCACTAATAAAATTATTATCCCTAAATTACGTGTAATATCATTAAACGAAAATATTTATTCAAATAATTTAACTTTATAACTATTTTATAGAATAAAAACTCATAATATTTCCAAATAAAATTGTAAATATTTCATTGCTCTTAATATAAGGTTTAAATATATTTTAAATTTTTGCAAATGTAATTGAGTTTTAGTCCTGAAAAAATAATACTTGATTTTAGATACCTACAAATTTTAACCGCTTCTTGTTAGTCATTGTTATTAATTTAAAAAAAATATTGATTAGTTTTAAATACTTGATCATGTTTAGTTAGTTTCACGCTAAAAATAGAAAATATCAATTAATATAATCAGGTAAGAAATAATATTTCAAATTAAGATAGTTAAATTTTGTTTAGGTCTGTAAATTATTTAATATAAATAGATAATTGGAAATATCATTTTTACTCTTTCATTTAATATTTTATTTTTGACATTGTATTGTTTGCTAAAAATAATTATAATATTCTCAGGGCTTAACTACAATATTATATATTATATATTATATTATATTATATATTATATTATATTATATTATATATATATATGTATATATATATATATATATATATATATTAATTTTGATATTATAATATTCAATTATTATAAAAAATTAAATATATCATAAATATAAAAATTTTATCTCTAAAGATTAAATAATAAAATATATTTTTGTCTTTTAAGAATTAATAAATATAATATATTAAATTATATATAAATATAAAAAAATTATTATTCTTTTCTTTGTCTGTCTATATACATTCAAAACTCATACAAAATAAATTATTTAATATATATTTTAATTGCTTGTAAATTTTGTTGTGTATGGTAATAGTTAATGTAATTTTTTTATCTTTAAATTTGACATTTTATTAGTGTTATTTTGTAATTAACAGTAACTAATTTGATTGAAAAAATATAAAATAATAATTAAAAAATTGTATATTTTTTAAGTTAAGTAAAAAAAATAATATTTTTAATATAGAATAATCACATATAATTTTTTTTCCTTTTAACATGATATGGACAATAAGTTTTATATTATTTTCTAAAAGAATAACTACATTTTTATTTATGAAATATTATTTAAATAAATTCATTACATTTAAGTTTTAATTTATAATTATATACTTATCATTTTATAGGTAAAAAATATTATTCACAAAACATTAATATATTATGAATAACATGATTTTATATTATTTTTAAATAGTAAAGATAGAACAAAAATAATGATTAATTTTTTTATCACATATACAATTTTAGTATGAGATTTTAAAACTTTGAGCCATTTTTTTGTGCTTTATATTTTTAATACTTTTTTTATGACATTAAAAAAAATGAGTCTACAATCATTCAAATTATAACATCAAAATTAATATATATATATATATATATATATATATATATATATATATATATAATATAACTAAATTATAATTATAATTATTTAAAAAGAAGTATAAGGTGAAATGTAAATTACTGAATAAAATATATTAAAAGAATATAATAATATTACCTTTTATTTTAAATATGTATTTAGTCGAGGTAAAATTAGGAAGTTTTACATTTGGCTCTTAAACATTGTTTTTCTTATATTTAAACTTTGAAATCAGTTTGTTTGGTCTTTTGTAAAATGTGTTAATTTCGGTTTTAGACTTTTTTTTTTCTAATTTGTATTCTTCCAAAATTCAAAATCAATGTTTTAAATTATATATTTTTATTATAATATTTTTATTTTATTTTGCAGGTGTTAAAAATTCTTTGAAATACTTCTCATTATATTAAATATTAATATTCGTTTCTTATTTTATTTAATCTTTTGTCAACATATAAATAATAATTAGTATAATATTGGGATAAGAGTGAACAATTTTCAAAATTGGAAACACTAAAAACAAAAAATAAATTTGTAGAAACCAAAATTAAAATTTCTTCATTTTACAGGACTAAAAATATATTTATTTATTTTTATTAAATAATAAACATATTTCTAAATTAAATTATGCACTAAAAATTGAATCATCTATTTTTGTTACTACGTTGATTAGTATTTTTCATTCTTAACGTTAAACTAACTACAATTAATGATTTAGACTAACAAATATTTCTACAAGGAATATATTAAATCATGTTTACATATACTAAAAACATATTTACACTATAAAATAATTATTTAGTGGTAATGAGTAAATGAAGATTCACTTTATCAAATTTATATTATTTGGTTTTATTCTACAGACACAAGTAATAATCTTAAAAAAATCATAATAACATTAAATTTATGCATAATCACATCATTAAATTATATACTTCCTTTTTTAAAAGGTCATTTTGTCACACGTAATATATTATACACTTTAATTTAAATGAGCATCTTTCGGTTAACTTTTTATCTTCAGTTTTTAGCTTCAAACACAGTTTTGAGCCTATTATAATAATAATAATAATAATAATAATAATAATAATAATAATAATAATAATAATATATTATTATTATTATTATTAACCTGGGGATTTTAATATGAAATCAATATTGAGTGAATTTTCTAAAACCAGTAGTATAAGTATGTAAAACATCATTGCTTGTACTGAAGTCTTAAAATCAATAATACAAGTGAGTTCTTCATAATTAAAAATTACAATATTAGAGAAAATATAAATCTTATATAGATTAAAGATAAAGTTTTAAAGAGTATCACTATTAGAAACCTAATTTTTTTCTGCTAATTTTCTTGAAAAAAATTGTTTAAATTTGTAGAAAAATTTATTTCTTGCAATTTTTACAAAAACTTTGCAAAAATATTCACATGAAAAATGAGAATTTTTAGTAGTGTATAAAAGCATCTTCAAATAAAATTTTGACAAGAATTGTTTAAAAATAAAAAAAAATATTTTTATTATGGATCACGGATTACTTAAAAATAAAAATAAAAATTGCTTAGTATTTATCAAATTTTAAACAAGAATCATCATAATAAAATATTTAATTTTTTTTAAGCAATTCACTCTCTGGAATTAAATGCATTATCAAATTCATCAGGAATGATTAACTAATAGTTCATTGCTAAAGCATTTATGTTTATAGGAAATGAAATTTAAACCTGATAGAACAGAAAAGAGTGTGCAATTGAGGTTTTATTTCCCACACTACATTGTTTGATTTTGTGTATAGGCAAGGAGCAAAGGTTTAGCGGTGGAAAAGGAGAAGCTAGTATGCCTCCAATTCGCGGTGGACACAAGGAACAAGATGACACCCCCATTGCCAAAATCTTTCAGTGGAAACGCATATGTTCTGGCCTCCATCATGATGGCAATGGGAGAATTGGAACATGCAAGCCTTCAGTGCATCATTGAGAAAATAAGAGAGGTCAAGAACAAGGTGAACCATGAATATGTGAGAGCCTACGTTGAGGCACTAGAAGGACCCCAACAAGGTTCATCTCTCCCTCCACTTAAGGAGCTAACCTTGGTTTCTGATTGGACAAGGATGCCCTTTCACAACATTGAGTTCTTTCATGGCAAAGCAACCTATGCATCCCCTCTTGCCACTCCTATTCCACAGGTCGCGTACTTCATGCAAAGCCCTAGTGACAACATGGGCGTTGATGTCAGAATTGGCTTGGAAGCCGAACACATAATTGCTTTTACTGAAAGCTTTTTAAGCATAGCGTGATGGAAACATCTTTCTTATATCCATGGATTTGGATGTATATCTAATCATAAATAATAACTGTGTTGGTGAGGTCTGAATAGGAGAACATTTCATGGGTATCGTGGAAAATGGCAGGAGCTAGTATATATACACTACTGTTACTTTTAGACCAATAAATATATCCTTACTTTTAATCTTGATATTACATGTCTGATACCCGTTTTATCTCTGACTTTACAGAATTTCAAGTTAATACTTAGTTTTGGATAATTTATTATAGTTAGCTTGGTTTGAAATAATGTTTTCTATTTTACTAACCTTTTTTTTTTCCTTTTTAAGTGATTTGTATCACTTTAGTAGTTTTTAGGCATGGTGAGTTTTGCTTACTCCATCTTTTTCCCGACTTTTTAACTGTTTTTATTCTCGTCATCGATTTTGATCTTTACCGGGATTTACAAAGGAAGTCTTTATCCCTTTTTTCGTTAAAATTTGGGGTTATTTTTGTCTCCTATTCATTCTCGTTCTATATTATTTAAAAAAAATTAATTATGTTTATAATAAATTAATTTTAATATTTTTACATATTTTTTATACGTAACTAAATTTTTATAATTTTTAATTATTATTATAATTAAATATATATTTTAATTTATTATATTTATATTAAGATATGTATATAAAATAAATATTTAACTATTTTTTTCATGGATATAAAATATTTATAATATTATTATTATATTATTATTAATTTTATTATTATATATTATAATACTGTATTCAAAAATTTGATTACATACGAATTGATTTAAGAAATTGAAAAAAACAAAAGAGTGAAAAATGGATAAAAGAAAAAAAAGATAATGAAATATAAAAAAGTAATTTAATATATAATATGGCAAGAAAACAAATTACTTTAAGAAAGTAATATTTTATAATTTTAATTTAAATATAAAATGGAGAGGATGATGTGGACGGGTGAAAATTATATTATTCATCTCCGGTGATGCCCTCAACTTTTCTAAAGCCAACAAAATTTAAATTTGCACTCCCCTCTCATATTAACTTAGTTTTTCTCATCAAACGATCCAGGAATATAAATTTAATTGTCATTCTTAATTGTTTTATTGGATTTGAATGCATAAGCTTGATAAACTAATTTATTTCCACTTAGAATTTAAAATGCTTTATGATTAACTATGTTACGAGGAATAAAGAATTTTAAAAGAAATCTATAAATTTATGATATTAATTTTACTTAAAATTATAAATTTTAAGTTTTCCTTAAATAAAATTTTTAAATTGTTTATAGTTTCTTTTCTTATATATATATATATATATATATATATATATATATATATATATTAATATTTATTACAAATATATATAGATATTAATATTTATTACATTTACTAAGTCTAATTCATGTAACTAAGCTAAATTCATATCCCATAATAAATATTTGTTTAATAGAAAGCTAAGGTGAAATGGTGTACTGGTCACACTCATCCAAATGTTTATTTCGTAATAGTCAACACACCATAAAGATAATGGGAAAGGTACAATTGTTATAACTCATCAAATTATGTCTCTTGCGCATAAATTTATGAGTTTATCTCTTTTATAAAATAATAAATTATTAAAAAAAATAAAAATAATATTATTTTATTATATATATATATATATATATATATATATAATATTATAACTTAATTTAATTATGTATTAACTTATTTTAAGAATAAATATTAGAGTGAGTTTTTAGTCATCATTTATTCTAAGATGTAATGGTTAAAATTAGTTATTAATTTAAATTAATAAATTACTAAAAATGAATTATGATAATAAAGAATAAGTTTTTAATTTTTATTTTGAAATTGAATAGATTTATTCTCTTATAATTTATATATTAAATTAATATATCTTAAATAAAAACTAATTTTATTATTATAATTTAAATTTTAAAAATATATTTTTTATTTTTATTTAAATATTTTTTTAATTAATGTTTTGGTATTAAGACTCATTATTTTTAATCAGGTCAAAATTGACATGTAATCCATTGACCTCACATAAGGTCACACTAAATTAAAAATTATTACTTATTTTAAAATATAAATCATCAATTCTTATTGTGGCAAGGTTTTGAGACTCAGTGATGGCCGTCACCTTAGGTTGTCATTTCCTATCTAAAGATTTCAAAATTTTTACATTTAATTCATCAATATCAAAAATTTTACCTAACCCGGTGAGATGGTTCACAATGTGTGTGAAATGCTTTTGAACGTCAAAGATCGTTTCTCCTTGTTGCATTCGGAACATCTCATATTCTTGGATTAGAGAATTTTTATGTGCTCTCTTAACGTCGTCGGTACCTTCGTGGGTCACTCTCAACATTTTTCACATTTCTTGAGCACTTTTACAAATAGAGATCCTGTAACACTCATCAAGGGTTAACGCAGATAAAATTATATTTCTAGCTCTAACATCATATTGAGCTTTTCTACTTTCCTTCGCCGTCCATCTAGAAAATGGTTTTGAAACTTCTACTCCATTTTCAGAAACTTTTGGAATAAAGGGACCGTTTAAAATTGCGTCCCAAACACCTCTATCAACAGACTCTAAAAATATTTGCATTCTAATTTTTCAGAAAGGATAATTTTGACCCGCAAAAAGTGGGGGTCTATTGATAGAAGAACCCTCGACAAACGTTTGATTTTGTCCGGCCATTTTTGAAAAATTGAATGACTATCAAAGCAAGCTTGATACCACTTGTTAGAATCGCACAGCGGAATGTTTGTGTTTCCGGACAAAAACCAAGAGGGGGGTGAATTGGTTTCTTAACAAAAATTAGGGTTTTAAAAATTTTCCCAAATTTTACCGATTAAAATGTTGTGTAAAGTAAATAGAGCAAGGATAGAGACTTACACAGATGATTTATACTGGTTCGGATCAAAAGACCCTACGTCCAGTTGCTAATCACTCAAACAGAGGATTAACGCTATCACTATTATCACAGTTTTACAAACAGATAACAATTGAAAAGATAAGGTAACGAAAACATCTCTCTTGAGTCACACAAGAGATGAAGAACAACTTTCCCTAGAGATGGCACAACACACAATCCACCAAGAAAACCCACTTAGTGATTCTTATCGCTTCTAGCCCACACTAGGTTCCAAAAGCCCCTTTTTCCTCCAACAAACAGTTCTCTGGCAATCACAGCTCTCAACTTTTGTTTGAAAAATGTTGTTCTATTTGCAGAGAACCTTAAGTAGACAGATTAGGGTTTGGGAATTGGGAATTTTCGAAACCTGATGAATTGGGACTAGGGTTTTCAAAACTTGGTCCAATTTTGAAATTCAAAACACATATCTGACTGAAATAATCGATTATCTTGAGTGTTAATCGATTTTTACAGAGCCAAAATCATCAGGAACTCATAACCACGCAGTTTAATCAATTATTTGAGCAGTTAATCGATTAACAGCCCTATTAATCGATTAACAGGGGCTTTAATCGATTATTCCAGAGAGCTGATACAGAAAATGGGTTTTCTCTCTGTAATAATCGATTATCCTACCATTTAATCGATTAATCCAGTGTGTTTTTGATAAAAATGAGTTTTTGAAGCTTCTAAAGAGTAGACTATGTGCTGACTATCTTAGACTCTAATAGTACAGACTCAAAATGATCAAAACAGAGTTATTACATCATATTACAAGTCTTCAAATCTTTAATGTCCTTTGTTCTTGAATCATCATCAAAATCTACAGGCTTCATATCCATGTATGTTCAACATTCATATCCTTGTATGTTTCAACACTTTATCAGTTAAAATGTTCTTAACATTTTCGTAATAGGTTTTTAACTGATAGGTTTTCGAAATAATCGATTAAAACCTTTTAAAACATACACTAGAACTATTTTAATTGATATATCTTCGAAGTAATCGATTGTTTTCATTAAAAGAGTTTTTGAAAACCTTCTGTCAGTATTTTAACTGATGTAGAATCGAAATAATTGATTAAAATGACTTAAGATGTTTTGAAAAGTGTTCTGGCAGAATTTTAATCGATACAAACTTGAAATAATCGATTAAAATAACTTGAAGTGTTTTCAAAGATGTTCTATCAGTATTTTAATCGATGCAAATGCGAATTCATCGATTAAAACAACTAAGAGATTTTTTCCTGAGTATTTTAATCGATTAAAACAAGTCTGTTATCAGTTAAAATGACTTAGAAAGTTTTATGAAACTTTTTGGCAAAATTCTAATCGATTAAAATGCGAAATAATCGATTAAAATAACTAAGAGATTTTTTCCAAAGTGTTTTAATCAATTAAAATAGATTGTTATCAGTTAAAATCACTTAGAAAGTTTTATGAAAACATTTTGCAGTATTTTAATCGATTAAAAGGAGAAATAATCGATTAAAACAATTTAAAGGATTTTTTACAAATTGTTTTAATTGATATAAACGTTGTCGTATCAGTTAAAACAAATCTGAAGAATGATCAAGAACATATTAACAGATTAAAAGAAGTTTTAACAGATTAATTCAAGACTTTTAACATATTAAAAGATTGTTTTAACAGATTAATTAAACCAACAGTTTGAAAAATCTTCTATATAAACAGGATTGCTTGAGTCTTTTAAAATAGATCTTTGAGCAATCAATCAAGCAATCATAAGTGCTACTTTCAAGAAAGAATCGCACAAGTTTTGTGAATTTTTTCGAAGCTCTTTCTTGAGGCAAATTTTGCATTCTTTTGGTAAAGAAACTCATTCTGCAGAGTTGTATAAACCGGGTTTGAGTGTTCTAGTTTCTTATCTTTGTTTCTTTACTTTTCTTTATTGTATTGTGAGTGTCTGGAAGTGTGGCCACTGGTTTCTGTGGCTGGAATTTGGCTGCAAGGTTGTTCAAGAACTGGAAGTTGGTTCTTGGTGAAGGTGTAGGTGCAAGGACTGGAATTTTGGTTCTTGTGGTAGATTGAGTGTGTGATTGGAATTGTAATCTGTA